TGTGACAATAAAGATATTGGTCTGTAGTTGGAAAATATATGTTTGTCTCCACTTTTATGAAGTGGTATGACTTTTGCAATGTTCATCCTGTTAGGAAATGTCCCTGTTGCAAAAGATAAATTACATATGTAAGTCAATGGATGAATAATACGTTCTATTATATTTTTTATTAATGTTATGTCTAAACCATCACAGTCAGTACTTCTTTTATTGATGCAATTATTGATAATATTTCTTATTTCATCACTAGTTACTGGACTTAAATATATACTGTTTTTATTGCTTTTGATATTCTCACCTATACTATAATTGTTCTTTTTGGAATGTTTTTTGCCAGGTCAGGTCCCACATTAGTAAAAAAAATTGTTAAATTCATTTACTATTTTACTGGTTTCACTAATTTCAGACTGTCCGTTTTCAAAATAATTTGGAACAGTTGAAGCTATTTGATTTCTTTTTATGACATTATTTATTATTCCCCAAGTTGCTCTAATATTATTTTTGTTTTCTTCTAATAAATTGCTATAATATTCCTTTTTTTGTCTTTTGATTATAGAAACTAATTTATTCTTATATTTTTTGTATTTCCTTTCTGCTTCACTTGTTCTTAGTTTTAAAAAACATCTATATAATGTATTTTTTTTCTTACAGGCATTCAGCAGCCCTTTTGTCATCCATGGTTTGTTCATCCTCCCTCTTTGTGTTTGAGTTTTTTTTTACAATTTTTGTCATATTGACTACATAATATTCCTATAAAATAATTGTAAGCCATGTTTACATCATCAACATATACTTCTTCCCAGTTTTGTTGTTCCAGATCTCTTTTTAGTGCGTCTATAGCATCATCTGATCATTTAATCCACAGTTGTGTTTCTTTGTTTAACTGATTCATTGTCAGTAAAATGGTAAAGGGCATGCTGCATACCCCTGCTTCAGAGCTTTCTATCTTCGTTAAAAACAAACTGTGATTATTGAGAAAAAGAAATGAGAGCACAAAGAAGAGAAGTTACATGAAAATGCACTTTTAGTGTTTACTTTGCCACTTGCTTAACTTTCTTTAGAGACTTTAGCAAACAGACAGATAGTCAGTAGGATATTAATATTTTCAAACAACGCTTTTCTGCATATAAATTTGATATCAGTGAGGGAAGTGAGCCCTAACAGAGGTCTTAATTCCTCTCTCATCAAAAGCAAACAGACAGAGAAATGAAGAAACGTGCAGGATGATGGTGATAAAAGAAAGCGGAACAGTGTATACACATTTCTGGACTGCACATACAGGCTCTTGTTAAGTAAATCTCACAGTCCATCTCTCAAAATAACTATAATGTTGCTATAATTACACGTACATCTTACCCTATTTTTCAGAAATGGATTTAATTAATTCGTCATTCAACACGATTGATAAGATTTTTTCTACGATGAGAACGGAGGAGGGGGCTCCCACTTGCCCTCATGGGACACACGCAGCGGGATATATGCTCGATTCCTGGAAGGAGTGGAAGGTCGTCTGTCTCTCTCAGCTGTCCATTGAGGATGTCGAATATATGTGGATATTTGGCCTGATGATCACTGGATTTCTTCTGATTGGAGTGGGAGGATATCTGGTTTTCCAAAAAATTGAGAAGACGGGAGCGATTGGAGGGCGACCCGTACCCATGAACAGCACCGTTCGGGCAGAGTCCTCACAGACTGAGACGTTACTCGAGGTGAATCGTAAGCTGTACAATGTCTTAGCTGTGTTACCGGTGTTAGTGCGCAAAATGGATGTCATCTCGGAGAGGGTCACTGGATGGTGTGGAGATGTTTAATAACCCGAATTGGCTTCACTGAAGGACTGGAATGACCAGTTACATACTGAAGGCAGAGGGTAAAATTATCGCTGCCTGACCCCACCACAGTCTTGTTATCCTAATCTGCTTTTATTTCTTGTAATTTTGATGATTTCTTGCAGATCATGATAACTAAATAAATCTGCATGAGAGGAATTATTAAGAATGGAGTTCATTTTCCTCTGAACACAAGTTATGGAAGTACCCGTCTTCTCCAGCTTCCTTCATTTGTGTTTGAGGCGCCGTTCCCTCTCATCCGCCTCATTTCAGGGGTGGGCCTCTCCCATGCCCGGACCGGGGGCCCGCTACCAAGTGATTAAGAGTGCAAAATTTGGTATCGATCCAATACCAAGTAAATACTGGGCCAGTATTGCCGATACCAATACAGATACGTTTTACTACTAGTACCATCTAGTTTTAGGTGATTTATTTAGAGAATGCATCAATATGAAAATTTGTCTGAAAACTCAAATTTCAATGACTATTTAATTATTTTTTAAGTTTTCCTTTAACAAATCATGTGTATGATGAAAATAATAAAAGACAGGAAACATTTTCAAGCAAATAAAAATACCTTTATGAAGTAACTCAAAATGAAAAGAACAATGTGTTGGCAAGATGGCTGCCGGTCTGTAGTGGTCCAATCATAGTGCCCTATAGGTTTCATGGGCCAATCGCAACACTAAGTAGGCAAGATGTTACTGAAAAAAAAAAAAAGTGACTAGTCGGCCATCGCTCCTTTGAAATGGCTCTGGCTTCAAGTTTGGGCTATTTTGATTTCGGCTTTTCTTTGAGTCACGAGCAGATAGACGTAGGACAGTTTACTTAGAAAAAGGATGTTTGCTTCTTCTTTGACAGAGTTTGGTTGACTGCCTTGTTGACTGACATCTATAGCTGTGATTAGGTCACGTTGTTTGTTATTCACTATAGGATGGCTTGCCAGGCTAGAATAGAAACTAAAGTTAAGAATCGATCTCATCACACAGCTATGGATGAATACTCAATACCAATGTTAGATTGATGCTATCAATCTGCCCAGCCCTACCGCTGCCCCCAAACCTCCCCAGAAGCTCCGCCCCTGAACCTGAGTTAGGGTTAGGCTAACTCATCAGCCAGTGGTTCTGCTGAGGTGTGATAGAAGCCTTCAGGTCATCATCATTATTGGGTGCGGTGTCTTTTTCCTTCCTCTTAAGAGTAACCTATAGACTCTCTGGTAGTTCATGTCAGGCCAGTTTGCTGGCCAATCAAGCCCAATAACACCATGCCATCAGCTTTTGGTTCCTTTAGCAGTGTGGCCAGGTGTTGAGTCAACATCTCCATAAAGCTTGTCAGCAGAAGGAAATGGTAAATGGTAAATGGCCTGTATTTGATATAGCGCCTTCCAGAGTCCTGGAACCCCCCAAGGCGCTTTACAACACAATCAGTCATTCACCCATTCACACACACATTCACACACTGGTGGGGATGAGCTACAATGTAGCCACAGCTGCCCTGGGGCGCACTGACAGAGGCGAGGCTGCCGAGCACTGGCGCCACCGGTCCCTCCGACCACCACCAGCAGGCAACGTGGGTTAAGCGTCTTGCCCAAGGACACAACGACAGCGACAGACTGAGCGGTGCTCGAACCTGCAACCTTCCGGTTACGGGGCGAGCACTTAACTCCTGTGCCACCGTCGCCCCTACAAGGAAAAGGAAGCATGAAGAGCTCTAAAATGTCCTTTTTGTGCCTGCATTGGCTCTGGACTTCAGAAACCACAGCAGACCAAGAGCAGCAGAGGACATGGAGACCCATTGACTGTAGATTCTGGCCTCTCCACTCTTCCTCCAGACTATGTGACCTTTATTCTCAAACATGCAGACATTACTTTCATTTGTAAACGGGACTTTGGACCACTGAACAAGAGTCTGGTTCTTGTTCTCCTTAGCCCGGGTGAGATGGTTTGACATGTGGATACTGACATTTGTAGCCCATCTGTAGAATTGGTCCTGTGTGTAGAGGCTCAGACTCCAGCCTCAGCAAACTCCTGGTGGACTCCAAATCCTTGAATGGATTTTTTTTTACCCTCCTCTGAAGGCTGGGGTTCTCCCCTGGTGGTGCCCCCCCCCCCCCCCCCCAACACTTTTTTCTTCCACTCAACCCTCTATGAATATGCTTGAAGTCAGCTCTCTATGGACAAGCAGCTTCTTTAGCGATGGTTATCCCCCCCTTGAGGACTCTGTCCATGACTGTCTTCATTATATTTAGTCTTCCCTGTTTTCTTCTCAGTACTCTGGGGGTGCACCAATAATTTGGATGAAAACATGAAAACCTACCTCTGGATGACTCAATGAAACTTCACAAACGTTTTCGTGGGTGTTTGAGGTTGTGGAGCTGGAGGTTGTTGTGTCACAGTAATGAGATCCGGCTAAATGTCAGAACAACTTTGATTAAACTAACAAAAAAATTGGCAGCTTGTTTATTTTTTTACATTTAGCTTATTTTAAGAACACATTAAAAATGGAAATGCATCCCACGCCCTGGTGGAAAAAGAACTGTTTTCATGCATATTATTTAAAATATTGACTTGATATCAAATGCATTATTCAGAAGTGTTTAACATAAAGCACCTGCCTATGGGCCCAGTGTAAAAAGAGCCAAGTTTTATTTTCACTTCATCATCAGTTTTTATTAATAAGTACAAGTATGACGGGCTCCTGGGAGGTTCCCCGACACCAAAATGTACTGCTGTGCATTTTTCTGCCTCATGCCTCAAAAGTTTTAAATGAAACACTCAAACACAAATTACTTTGATGGATGGAAACCATCAGTTTTTCTTTATCATTACCAATTTTTGATTTTCACAGCATAAACTTGAATAAATCTTTACTTCAGCTGTGTGTGGAACATCCTAAAGGATTAATGAGTTGTAGTTTAATATAACTTATTTACCAGCTCGATTACAAGCTAACTTATACTAAATGGAAACTTTGGTAGTCATTGTAATCTAAGACAGAGTCTATGCAGAAATAGGAAGCTGGTGAAAGAACCTGAATTTGGAAATCAAGAGCATCAAAATGGACAGTTTGTGGGTTTCTACTTGTGATTGCTGACATACGACGATATGATGATTGAGCTGTCTCATGTAGAACATTGTGATTTTCCCATGATTTCATTTCATCTCTCTACAGTGTTTCTGGGTGTCTCTGGCTTGTCCGCCTACCAGGTGCGTCCCAACAGCATGTGTGTTCAGTGGCAACCCCTTCTACAGGCTACGTCATACAGGGTCTCTATACAGTCAACACTCAGTGAGTACATTTAGCCTCTTAGCACCAACCTACCTCAGTGTTTTCATGTTTTTCTTCTATAAAAAGCTGTTCTAATGAAGGGACTGATAGTTGATGGAGTCTTAAAACAAAATGTGAAATACAATAAAGCTCCTTAATTAGGTTCATAAGGAAATGATTGATTTTCATCTACAGCTTGATGCTTCTGGGTGTGTTCCACATCTACAAACAGAATGGGAACTTATAAATGCTCATGGTCCAGTTCACGTTTGTTTCTTGGAGGGGAAGGGGTTGGTGAGAACTAAACATGAGGTGGTATCAAAAGTCAGCATACTGTAGAGACGAAACAAAGGTGGGTTCACTGAAAAAACACATTTCTGCTTACAATCGGTCACTCATGAAACATGAAAATAGTCTCCTACACCTATATCCTACATTAGCCTCTGATAGAAAACAGATGGTGAAACTCAGGGTTTTGAAAAGCCTGACAGATCCACGCCACACGGTCACTTAACTCATTCTCTGCCAGCTGTTTTCTGATCTGAAGGCCCCTGACTGCCAGCATTTTAAAGCATTTTACTGATAAGAGTCATAGAAAATTGTGCTCTGTGACCATGTAAAGGCCAAAACAACCAAAAGAGCAGACTCATCAGGAAGAATCAGCGTGTTTCTAGCATTATCCGTAGCGTTCAAAAACGATCTCCTAATGGATTTTCTGCTTTCTGATCAGTGGCGGCTGCAGAAATTTTCTCTGCAGGTGCTATGAAGGAGCTAGTCTTTTTATTGAGGGTGCTATGAAGGAAGTGGTCATGCGTACCTATTGTTCTCTAAAACACCTTCAACACTAGCAGATGCGTGCACAACACCTCAACAACACCTGAAACAATCATTAATATACATCATAAACATATGAACAATCGCTGACTTTTCCATGAAATCATAAACACATACAGCCACACAGAAAACCATCTATAGTGTTGCAAGGTTAGCTAAAGTTAGTGTTAGCATTTCCAGCGGAAAACCCTCGACTGCTGCGGCGGTTGAAGGACTCTCTTCATCCAGATCCGTAGGGTTTTGTGGGTCTGAGATCACTTCCAAAGGTTCATTTGTTTCTGACTGAACCCGTGGAAATGTGGGCAACAAAAACCGATCCATTTTACCACTAGCTCTACCTTTCACTCGTTCACAGGTGGAAAATGAGGTCAAAGGTTAACATCAATTTCCTGTTTTGGTTTAAGTTTTTACTATTTATATGATAATTAACTGATTATTTTTGTTTTGTATGTCAAATATTATCACATCCACACATTAAATTAAAATTAAATTGTAAAAAAAAATCTAATATTTACTTGGGGGTGCAGTGACTAATCCAGGGGTAGCTATAGCGCCCCCTAGCGCCCCCCTGGCACCTCCACTGTTTTTGATCATGTGACATACACAGATGAAGATCAGCTTCAGAGATGTGATGTTTATTCTAACGGTGTGGGGGGCTTGTTCGCACCATTGACATTCATACTGGACAATTCATTTCCATAGGCTCCAATAATAAGTTTTTGAGGCCAAATGGGAGGTGGCCACCACCGCCATTTTGACCGTGTCACAGTTTCCATCAAGCCCAGATAATGCCACAAAAGGAAAGAGAGGTGGAGCTGAGGGTGGGGCTGTAAGGCTGGGATCAACTGACGACACCCGGTCGAACTAGCTACAAGCTAACCTGAAGCTAACCCAAAGCTAGCGCGGAGGTGGGAGCTAAGCTAACGGAGGTAGCTACCTAGCTACAACCAGAGTTAACTGTGCACAACACCAGACCTTCTGAGTCAGAGATACGCCGGGCTGACCGCTGGGTAAAACCGGGTGGAACACAGAGGTCTCCCGAGAGTTCCACAAGCCAGCAGCCACGCACCAGACAAGCGCCGCTGTGATCTGAGATGAGTTGAGCTGCTGCTGGGGAGAACCGGGTGGAAAACATCGGTTTCCATGCGAGAGCTCCACAAGCCAGCAGCCCGCGCAGCAGACAGGCGCCACGGCGGTCAGAGATGCGCCGAGCTGCCGCTGAAGGGAGGGAGACCATACCGATAGTCAGAACCCAGCTCCACCAACATGTAATATTTCAACCCATTTTCTAAAATACAGCATTATGTTAAATGCACTGGGTTTTACCCTATTACATTTAAATTTCATGGTTAAACAGTACATGTTAAAATCTAAGCTCAGCTCGGCAGTGACCTAAAATACATAAACATAATTTTACTTACCGAAAAAAATGAAGTGGAGACTCCTTGGACGCTCTATTAGTGCAATTAATGCCACAGCAAGTCATTTTGTCCAACAGTTGCACAAATAATATCCAAAAAAGAATACACAAACGGCACAACTAATGGTCTAAGTTGGGAGACTAAAAATCACGGAACAGTTTTCAGGCGAGGCCGAGACTCGGGCTGAGGCCTTTCCACGGAGCTAGCTCTGTGGTCACGTGGGTCTGATGCTCATTAATTATACAGAATTTTAGGCTTTTAATACACTTAAACAGAAGAGTGAGAAAAAAATTCACCCCCCTCAGAATTGTCATGAGTGTAAACTAGATCATTTAAACCAAAAACATGTTTTGGAACCAGGCTGTAAACATGTTTATTTCTGCTGTGAAATTGGTATTTTTTACATGGGAGTCAATGAGGATTTGGTCGTTTCTGACACCAGCCCCTAGTGGATGAGGGTGGAACTGCAATTTATTTCACTTCCGCACTGGCCTCAATTTCTGTCCCACATCGTGGGGGTTTGGTTCCCACGCCTGCCCCATTAGAAAATGCAATTGATGTCTTTAGTCATCAATGGCAGTAAATGACTCACCCATCTTGACTCCTGATGGGGAAGTCTGTTGTTGGTTTAGCATCCAGGAAACAGCAGAGAACATATCAGATAGTAGAAGCTAATCATTGATATTAGCAACTTCACCACATGGCAGAAGCTCCTCCAAACTTGTGTTATTTGTGGAGATAAATCATTCATGTTGGAAGTCAGTAGGTCACGTTGCTTTTATCCAATCTGAAGTAAGATGTCCAGATATCAGGAAATAAGACTCTAAAACTAACAAAAATTGTTCAGATTATCACAGATTAAGGGATAAATACATTCAGCTTTTTACTGTTAGAGAACAATAGGATAAAATCCTTCCTTCCTGTCATGGTTTTAGGAATAAATTTGGCCCACATGCTGAGAAACTCAGGAGACCAGGAGAAGGTTCAGGAAGTAAAAGACAGGTCAGTAATAGGCTGGGTTCCGGATCTGGAGGTTAGGCCACTGGAATGAAGAATACAGGAGGTTATGAGCGGAACGAGGAGGAAGATAGAACAATTTGAGACGTCTGGGAGGAGAATGAAGTAGTTGCTGAGGTGAGCAGGGCCAGGGCTGTAGACGGGTGAGTAGGATTGATCAGGAGCAGGCACTGGAGCAGCTCCGAGGTGAGTAACAGGTACCAGGAGAATGATAATAAAAGCTTAGATGGCTTACGGTGTAACGTTGGAGGGTGAACAGGAGACGCATGGGATGTCAGAATGGGAGGAGATCCAAAAGCCAGGGATTAAGCAACCGTGGTTCTGGAGGAGGGGAAGAACACAGTCGAGGCGGTTCTGAAAGGCTGAAAGCATCAGCTTGGTTTGGGATCAGGAATCCTATGGACATAAATGAAGGCAGGTCAGCAACAGGCAAGGTTTTCAGGTTAGAAATCCAGAACTGGTTCAGGTGCCTGGATGTTACCATGAACAGTCTGGCAGTGAGTGGCTGGTTCGCCGACTCCTTTATTCCTCCCGCCTTGATTAGCTGACCAGCTGCAGGTGAGAGAGGTGACTGCTGCAGAGCTCATCAGCTGGGAGGTGTACACCCAAGCATGGACGTAAATTTGTTGTCCCCCCACCCCCACCCCCACTTTTCCAAAGTCAAGTTTTGACCCCTGCACTTTTTACCATCCAAAAACAATATTACGCTATATTGAAGTGACACTGGTTGAGCTCTAGGACCAAGCGGAAAACAACCGTTTGTGTTGAAGCCTGTTTCCCATTAGAGCATGCTGTAAAGATACCCCCCACCCCCGTGTCCCCCCCACTTCTAAAGTGAAAATTACGCCCATGCACCCAAGCATCTCCATAAGCCCTCCAACAACCTGTGGATGAAAAAACACCTCCCACAGCCCTGGAACCGGACACTTCCCTTCACCCTTCATGGTGATCTGGACAAGTGGGGGAGTAGAGGGAGGTGGAGTGTACAGTCGGTAAAGACGGCTCTCCATTGCCCTGCCTCCAACATGCCTACATCTAAAAGGCTAGGTTATCCAGTTATCTCTGTAGTTATGCTGCTATAGGCTTAGACTGCTGGAGGATAGACTGATCACTTTCCACACTCGACTACTTTCTTCTACAATCTGCTCTTTAACTGTATTATTTCCTGCCATTTCAGTTGTTAACTTTATTTTTTCTCTAAGTGTTTTTCTCCCCAGAAGAATTGAATTGAATGTCTGTTTCACTCTTCCTGCAGCCAGAATACAGACTAAAAGTTAAAGAGTTAGGAGTTTCTATTATTGGAAAAGGTTTGGATTTTAACCGACAGCCTTGGTGCTAACTCGACCGTTTCCCCTGTGGATAGGGGCGTTAGGGTTCATTTATCATGGGACACATTAGGAAATAGAATTAGACTAATTAAACTGACAAATGGCAGTCATTAAAGTTTGTACCGTTGGTGTGAGTTGTTGGTTTTTGCTGCTAAGATAAGTTTCCTCTTTTTTTCTCTTTTGGGATATTTTTATTTGAATAGATTTATTTTTCAGCCTGAGGGGGATTATTAATACTATAAACAGTTTTCTTTTCTAAAAAGGTGCTGTATTTATGTTTTACCATTATACTTTCTGGTCTCACAGTTCTTTTTTTTTATTACTTTCATTTTGTTTTACATTCATCATTGACAAAGCTGTTGCACACCAAAATGCTCTTAGGTATAAAAATTAATCTCACTTTAAACCTTTAATAAAAACAAATAAAACAAAGTTAATTCTCCCATCATTTATCAAAACAAACCTTTCCTTCTACAGTTATTTTCTTTCTTCACCCACGGGGGTTGAAACTAAAGGCAGAAATACATCAAATGTAATCTGAGAATGAACTCAACCCAGGGCATACCTTCAAAGACTCATTTGTCCAGATTTAGCAACTGAAAGTGATTTTTGCTTTTTTATTTATTTTTTCCTTTTCCAGATGATCAGAGGCAGGAAGTGAACCTGGGGGGCGCAGCTTCCCGTCAGTGTTTCTATGATCTGACTCCCAGCAGCCAATACCAGATCAGTATTTACACACAGACACGTGAAATGGAAGGACCGTCTGTATCCATCACAGAGATGACACGTACGTATACTTAAATACACTGTTTTTAACATTATGAGGATATTTTACCTGTTTTTACTGAAGAAACATACTTTTTAACTACATCTGTCTTGTTTGCCCTGCAGCCGTTCTTAGCTCTGTAACGAGCTCTGTTACCTAGAGCCTCCTTCTGTCTGGTGTCTGTCTCTTCTCTCAAACACAAACCTACTTTACAGCCAGGATCATGAATAGATGAATAGATGGATTCTCTCACACTTGTACATATTCTATATTTAATACGGAAGACAGCATGCCTGGTGGTTAAATATTAGTTTAAGGCTTTAATTTTAGTCGGTTTAACTTTAATCTGTTTCATGGTTTTAGGGTAGACTGTGATGTTTTATATCAGGTACTTAAAACATGAACTCAAGTATTGTGTCATCCATGGGGTTAAGGGGCCACATGCATCATAAGGGACAGGAGTAGCTCAGGAGGTAGAGCGGGTTGTCCAGTAATCTGAAAAAGACACTTAACCCACCTTGCCTGCTGCTGGTCGGAGGGACCGGTGGTGCCAGTGTTTGGCAGTGCTCCCCGGAGCAGCTGTGGCTACATCGTAGCTCATCATCACCAGAATGTGAATGGGTGGATGACTGGATGTGTTATGAAGTGCTTTGGGGGGTTGTAGAATCCTAAGAAGGCGCTATACAAATGCAGACCATTTACTATTTTTTTTACTATGGGATGTTTCTAGAAACTTTGGTTTACAATTCACTACAAATAACCAGGAAGATGTGCAGTTAAGTCAAAAAAAGTGCTTCCTAAATATCTAACGTAAACCAATTAAATGAGTACTGTTACCCCTTCATTTCACTGGATGTGTCGCAGGCGAAACGTACCGAGGAGCAGTTAGCCGCTGTTGTAGTGAACGTTCTGGATGCGTCCCAGAAGTAAAGGTTCAGCAAAGGTCAAAGGTGCTATCATCATGTTTTGAGTCTATTTTTTACGCACTACGCTTCAAAAACACGTCAACCTCCGCAGTTCAGATCAGGCCTGACAGGAAGTCAAACACAAAAGCAGCGTAAAATATCCAGAAACTTTCAAAATAAAAGTCACGTGCAGATAAACAACTTTTTTTCATTGACAATTTTGAGGGATAAAGGTGTGGCATTTCTGTATAATGAAAATTCAGAATGTAAGGGTTGTATTGATGTATAGCAAGTTAAAATACTCAAAAAATGGCACCACAGTATGTAACAATATAAATAGAAGTTCTGGCAAACTTGTTCTATGGCAGGTCTTAAAGGGTTAAGTAGTGTAGAAAAATAAGGTATTCATAGGGAGCGTAAGTCTCCTCTCTTTCCGGTCGGCTCATGGGTCTCCGGAAGAACGAAAAAATGAATGGACGTCAATGAGGCTAAAAACGCTGTTTTCTAATCTGCTTTGCCTTTACACCCTGGATCACACTTATGTTGTACTGCAATATAAATGAAAACTATTAATGGGTGTTTCGACCACTTCAGTCACGTACTTTGAGATTTATCAGCTTGTAAAAGTTCGTGTTTAGCATGACTACACACCAGAAATCGGCACGTTGCATATGTGACGTCACCACACAATCTCCTCTCCCCTAGCGTAGCTGCTACTTACCAAATGACCAGATTTATGGTGGTTCTTTCCTCCCGTGGGAAGTTTGCTGAACTTACAGCCCTTTTCCCTCAGTTTTCTCCGTGTCTGGTTCGATGATGTCACTTTCGTGAAGCGCATTTGTAGTCCTGGACTTAATTTCACACAAAACCTAAAATAGCATCTCCCCCCCCCCCCCATTCGAAAATAAGAGCGTTCTTGGTATCAAAATGCATCTTTAAAATTCACAGACATCATATGTGAAATCCATGGCACAAAACAAGCGGAGTTAGGAAATAGCGTTTTTAGCCCCGTTGACTTACGTTCATTTTTGTGTTCTTCTGGGGACCCGTGGTCCGGAAGTAGATGGGTGTGACTTAGGCTCCCCGTTGAAGAGATGTAGAAGGATCAAATGAACATGACTAGAATTAGATTAATTCTGAAATTAGATTTTATATCGAACAAAACATAACAGCTGGATTTTTACAGACTTATTTAGAACAAGCAGAGTTTCCCAGTTGAATTCCTATAAAATTGGTAGAAAGATAAAATAAAAAAAAGAAACATTAAACTTAACAAAAATGTCTTAATGCTTTTATATCATGTGTGAGCACACACTTGTGTTCATGTTGACATTGTCTTGTTTACTTGTGTGTTTGTGCGGATTTAGTGCCGGCCCCTACTCAGGCCCCGACTGAACCCCCCACCACAGAGTCCCCACCTACCCTCCCACCTGCCAAAGAAGGTACCCATAACATGAATACCCGTAATGTACCTGTGTTCATTTAATGTTAGGGATATCTGTGCTCATCATAACTCATTTAAATGGAGGCATTTTAATGTCATGAGTGATTAATTTTTTCAGTGCATTTGTGGATAAGAGTTATTTTTAACTCTTATCCACAACAATCCTCTTCTTCCTCCTCCTCTGATTAAAGGTCGCCTTGCAGCATGAGGTCCTTAGCCGATACACCTGCTGAACTCATGTCAAAGCCTTTGTTTAAGTTGGTGGCCTTTGTCAAACCAGTGCTTCCTTCTGAAATGACAGGCAACCTTTACTTAGAACAAGAGAATCAAAAGCAAAGAGTTGGTTTTCTGTAGGTAGGAGAAAGAGGAACGAAAGTAGGAAGAGAATAAACACAAGTACGGGTCTGACACACCATATGCGCGTGAGACGGTTCTGCAGAGAGTAAACAGAGGCTGGAATAAAGAGAGACATTGTTAGATTTTTCAGTACAGATGGCAACAGGCTGGATTCTGCATCACCTCTCTTCTGCTGTCCTCACCTCCTATGCTCCTAAGGAATTTCATTTTTCATGAAATTCATAAAGTCATAAACAAGGCCTGGAATTTTTTGATTTAGAGCTTGAAAAGTCTTCAAAACCCCTAAACAGCTTTACAGCTGCAATGATGCGGCTACTGGGAGTCATTGAGAAACCAGAGAAGAGTAAAAGCAGACAGAGAAGTCACTGCAGGACTGAGAATCAGACCAAGCAACCGACAAGAGAACACCAGAAACACCTCCCACCTCAGGCAGAAAGTTTTAATCTGAACTTGCATCATATCTCCTTTTTTCAACACTACAGAGTTTATAGAGCTCAGAAGACAGAGCTCTGGATATTTACCCCTTTTCCATCAGAAATGTGTTTGCAGTGTGTCATCCTTTGAATATTTACTCAGAGTGTGAATCTATTAGGCAGCCAGTTGATATTCCTCGTATGCTTTGTCCTCCACTGACTTTCGTTGAAATTACTTATTAAACGCAGAGACGAAATAATGAGCTGAATTCATTTGAGTGTTTTCTGAATGCGTAGTGTGCAAGGAGGCCAAGGCAGACCTGGTGTTCCTGGTGGATGGCTCCTGGTCCATCGGAGACGACAACTTTATGAAGATCACACATTTTCTCTACAGCACCATGGGATCATTGGATCAGATCGGACCAGACGGCACCCAGGTCAGTTTTATTTTCTCCAACCCTGGCGTTAAAATCACACAATTGCAGATTGGATTTGTTGATGGTCTTGACTGTGTTTGAGCTAACTCGTCAGTACTGTAAAATGTAAACTTCATAATTTTGAATTTAGGCCTTTTAACAATCTATTTACAAAGAGCAAGATAGTAATTATAACTTACACAGTAACACACCTTAATCATATACTTAAAAATGGCATCTACAAGTGAATGTTGAATAAGTGTGCACATGCAATACTATGGCTGACAGCATGGCTGATCAATGTAATCCAAATATTATCTTTAAAGGGGACATATTATGCAAAACTAAGCTTTTGCATCCATTGTGGTTCTCTACTGCCTCTATAAACAAAAATTATTAGCATTAGCATCCCTGTGGGTTTTTCCATGTATATTAGCATTGTGGTAACCTCTCGCTGCCGGTCAAATCGTAGCATTTGCGCAAAAAATTTTTTTTATCACATCGCAATTTCAATGCATATGCAATTAATTGTTCAGCCCATTCAAAAGTCTCTGTGTGTGACATCACAAAAGGGAAAATCTGAGTAGAGCCCCCTCTCATGAGCAAGAGAGAGCTGCTGCTGGTGGATCAGTGGCTCTACTCTGACTCCTATTTCACACTGGAAGCATCAGCGGTGCGGAACGACAGCAGAGTGGTTTACTTACAAGCTTCAATGCGGTCCAGTACACACCAGGAGAGTCTCGTTGGACTCGCGAGATCACCAAATTCCTCGAGACTTGAAATCCGCCATTAAACCAAAAGTAGGAATCTTGTTTGATATCGCTATTTGATGTCATATATGATGTTGTTCCTCTCCATTGCCAGACTTAAAGCAGTAAAAACACACTGTTGCACTTTTGGAACGATGCAGGGAGTAAATAAGCCGTTAGGTCACACGTATTGACGTCATTTACATAGTTATGAAACTGCATTGCTGTAATAGTCTTTTATTTTGAAACCAGGGGCTTTACACTGAAACCGTGTGGGATTTTCTGCCTAGCCCTATGTTAACTGCGGAAATTGACGTTTCCCAGAAGCAGCATGCATCAAAAATAGAACCCAATCCCATCTTTTGCGGCGCGGTGTGCCGCTTTTGGGATGCGCCTGAAAATTGTCACATTGCAGCTGGTTTGAAACACCCCCATAGACCATAAAGGATTCTATTGAAAGCAGTGAGGTTTCGCTCCGCTGATGCTTCCAGTGTGGACAAGGGGTGAGACCCTCCTGTTATTTCAGAGCTCTTCAAAATAAAGCAGCCTGAGCAGGGGATGGGTGGGCGTGGCCAGCACTAGCTTGTTTTCTTAAAGTGGCAGAGCCCTGAAAGGGCTCATTCTGGAAGGTACTGAAAGTGCTGAGACCAAAACTGCTGAAAACAATTTATGAGAGGATTTGTGCAAATAACTCCATAAGCACGTTTTCTATCAACCATAGAACTATTTTGGTTAAATATATGTTAAATATTTCATGAGTCTCAATCAGTTTCTTTCCTATCTGCTCACTAAAAGAATAAGAATATATTTGCTTATAGTTTTGCTGATACTCCTAAAACCAAACTTTGAATTGGCCAAAAAAAAGGCAACAAAAAAAAGACAGGTTTGAAGCCTTTTTTAGAAAACTATGTCGCCAATTAGCTGCAACGACAAGTCGGCATCTGGGAGCCTTGGGGCTTTTTAGGTGGTCAGACTTTGGCGGTAGTGTTGCACGATCGTCTCCTTTTTACAAAGGATTACATGATAGTGGTATAAAGAGGGTATGGGGCAGCTTCGGTGCTGCGGAGGACTTCCATTCATCTGGAACCTAACTTGCTTTTTATTGCGACCGAAGCCACACTTGTCAAGTTTTTCTAACAAGCTGCTCCTAAAGGTGTCCCTGTGCAGTCTCTGGTGATCTGAGCCCCAGCTCTAACAGAGAGAAGCTCCTGGAGCTCTGCATCACTCCATTTTATCGTCTCAGCTGATTCTGTTGACAAAAGCAAAACTTACAGCCTGGGTTTACTTTCACTTTCAGTATAGTTGCTGGCCGGCGCTTGGCAGCAACTCCCCACGTGATCATGACGCCTCCCTCTTTTGAGCCAGGGCGTAAAATGCATTCACAAGTTTGGCGTTGCTCCAAGCGTGGTGGCATGAATGCCACAAAATTCCTGCAACGCCATGCCACCACAACACGTTCATAAGACACACCGTAGCAGCACTTTTATGCTGATTTGCCAGCATGGTGTGTATTTTAAAAAGAGCTTTACACTTATCTGCTGTTTAAACTGTTTAAATGTACATTAATTGCTAATTTTTTTTTGCTGTCTTGCATTTGCCATTCCTAAACTTTAAGAACAAAAAAGCACATTTGAGCTTATATCGAGTGACTCTTGGAGGTTTTTTTTAATATTTCTTTTGACCATTTTGTCTTTTTATTATTTGAAGAAGGTGTTAGTTATGGCTTTACTTTGCATTCCAGTATTGCTATTTTTAATCCAATACACGTTCGTTCACTTGGCGGTCCCCCTGAGAAATCAGCCTGGCCACAGCTTTATATCTACTGAAAAGTTTAGGGAAGAGGAGAACTTTTTAGCGAGTCGATCTTTGCTCTCTGCAGGGACTTTTTGATGCTGAGCTGTGTTCGATTAGCTCTGCTCATTTGCTGCCACCGTGTTCTTTGCCAGGAAACATTACCTCTCCTGCATGAAAGGTGTTTTTAACAAGTTAAGTCTAGATGTATTCAAACCTGGAATAAACATTAAGTGGTTCGAGCAGAGGCAAATGCTTTATGGGTCTTCTCTGAGTCACGTTACCACAGTTTTTACCGTTTCCACAGATTTACGCTATTTGTTTTAAATTAGAGTTATCAATGGCAAAGTCAGCCTGTAACTTGGGGCAACTTCTTCCCCTCTGTCCGGGTGAAGCGATTTATTTCTTAGACACTTTCCTGCGTGGCCTCCTCTCTGTCAGCAGACCTCTGCTGGTTCATTTGTCACACCGCAGAGGTGCTTGCTAAACCTTTTTGTTTCATTTGTGTAATGTCTGCTGCTGAGCACTTTGCTGCCCTCGCGGCTCTCTGAAAACCCTCCAGCAGCAGAAGACAGACTACAAAATGAGAAAGTTGGCTGCAGACTAAAGAGAGGTTTGGCTGGTGAATATACCTGTAGACAGCACCATTAGTGGTGGTAGTTGTCTGTCCCTCTTATAGAGGGTTATTAGATTTATTACAGCTTCAGTTTGGAAGTTTGAACTTTGGGACAGGATATTTGTATTTATTATGAGTTTGGCATAAAAACTTGTTAGGAAAATCACTAACTTACCACCAGGTTTAAAGAGCCACCGCTGCTTTTTCCATATTAGTTGCTGTTTGGTTTTATAATTCAGAAAAGTGGCCTCTTGCTGTTTGTTTTGGATGCTGAAACAAACTGATAACTTGTCTGGTAAGAGTTTTAAAATGTGACGGCGGAATCATATTCTACACCAAAAACCAAAGCGGTTTGGGGCAAATGGTGTTTGTTTGCTTCTCTGTTTCCCTTCAGGTGGCCGTCGCTCAGTTCAGTGATGATGCACGGACGGAGTTCCAGCTGAGTTCCCATGGCAACAAGGAAGCCCTGCTAGAAGCGATACAGAAGATCCAGTACAAGGGAGGAAACACCAAAACAGGTTAGAACTGGACAGGGGATTGTTTACATTTAATTAGGATTGTTGGCAAAATAATCCTAATAAATACAGGTACAACCTTCTCAAGAGATAATTAGATGTAATGAACATTAATATAGAAGGAAAAGAATCACCCCTTTGGAAAACTTTACGTCCCTCTGTGGAAACACAAATAATTCACCTTTATCAGCTTTAGTTATCTGATGCAACCAACATCTAACGGAAAAAACAGCACATTTACAGTTCTAACCCCACCCCCCCCAATAGTGCTTATGAAACTGATGTCACATGCACCAAATGACCACTTTTTACCATAAAGTCCCGTAACTCCTTCAGAGTCTACCTCTTGGTAGATTCTCTTACCAGTTTCTTCTTTGCTCTTCCATCCAGTTTGGAGGGATGACCAAATCCAGGAAGGGTCCTAGTAGCACCGATCGCTTCCCAGTTCTTTATCAAAGACTTTGTTTTACTCCTTAGGATTGATCAAGTGATAAAATTATTCATAAAGTCTTTGAGATGATTTTGCATCCATCTCCCGCCTTACGTGCATTCACAACTCTGAGATTTCTGCAAGTGGCTTGCCACCCATAGCCAGTTATTTGGTGTCAGCTACACTACAAAGCAAGAGAAGTGCGGGAACAGCAGTTTTTACGCTCCACTGATCAAATAGACCACAACTGATCATAGGTGAAAGCTAGTTATCATGGTCTGCTAGGGAAATGATGGGCACCTCCCCTGACTCTGAGTTTAGAAGCTCTTTTTTTCAATGAAGGCTAAAGGTTGCAGTGAAAAAGTAAAGCTGGTAGCAGATATTTGTGTTTGTGTTTCCACTTGAGACTTTAAAAGAAAGAGATTTAACAATTGCAAAGTGGGTGATTTGTTTCTGTACCCACTGTGTGGCATAGGTATGAGAGGAGAGTATCATGACATGGGCTTATTCAGATGGCTCAGAAACCTGTCTGAGCCCATTGGCCCTGTGTTTGGGTGGAAAACCAGAGAAGCAGCTGGAACTCGGGTTGCACTGGGATGAAGAGGCTCGTTGCTCCGAGCCTTTGAAATGAATCTCTGTTATGTGAATATTTCAGGTTATAAAGACCAACTCAAGTGCTTTAACAGCACAGATTCTCCAAATGTTTCAGTCGCCTTTTGCTTTTAAAACCTGAGACTTCCAAACCAAGGCATGAAAATCCAGTTAGTTGTGCAGCACCAGGCTAAAGACCAAAGATGACAGATCATCTGCTGCTGTGGCCCCCAGACTCTGAAACTCTCTCCCCCTGAGCCTGAGATCAGTGGACTCAGTGGTCTCCTTTAAAAAGCAGCTGAAGACTCACCTGTTCAAGCTGGCTTTTGTGTGACCTTCTTCACCACTCTCTCTTTATTCTGCTCTCCCCACCTATTCCACCTTCCTCAGGATCCACTGATTTCCCTCTTTCCTGTTCATTCTCTCTCTTTCTTAACATTTTTTATCACAATTGTCTCTTTTTGCTCATTTTAAATATATTTTGAAACATTTTCTAAATGCTTTTTTATATTTTTACATTTTTTTGTTTTTGTGAAGTGCCTCGTGATTTTTATCTTGAGAGGCTCTATAGAAATGATATTTTCTTCTTCTTCTTCTTGAAACCCAGAATAAACGCATCTCAGAGACATTAATCAAACTCTGCTGCTTTCTCAAAATGCTGATTTTTTTACACATTCTGATTGTTTTTGAGTCTAAGTTGATCTTTCCTAAAGGTTCTCGTACTGCTGTGCTACTGAGACTAGTCTTTCTTTATTGGGGGGGGGGATTGCGTTTCTTCCGAAAATCAACAAAGAGCTCTTTGGTTTTGTCCACATCGATACAAAGCTACATGTGCAGCAGCTGTTCCACAGATTGTTATCAACAAAGAGTTCCTCCCCTTTTCAGAGAACTTAGTAACTACTCCCAAAGTTAGAAGCAGCAGCTTTTATGGTGTGTCCGTACAGATCTGAATTAAAAATTCTGCTTCTCAAAAAGTAAGAATGTTGTGAGAAAGTGAAACACTTGATTTCCGGGATGTCACACCTATCCGCCTGTCGTTGTCTCCTGGTTTCTCTGTTTCATCACCAGATCCTGTTGTTATTTTCTTCCTGCTGCAATAATGTTCCTGCGAGCTAAGGTTCATGCCACTTATCTGAACTGAGCTTTAACCTCCCAGAGCTAAAATCTCTACATTTAAGACTTAATGATCTGTTGGTCTATGAGAAAGATGTGCATCAATGTTTGCACAACATAACAAATGCAGGTAACTACAACCACAAGCAAAGAACCTGGAGTCAGATCCAACTTCTTTCTTTAAATGAGGGAAAAACTGAAGTAATAGTTTTTACTCCAAATGACCGCCAGCGCCATGGATTGGACCTTTCATCGTTGCTCCCCGAGGAGAAGTCCGTGATTATGGACTTGGGTGTCAAGATAGACTCTGGTCTACGATTTGATAATCAGGTGAACTCTGTTGTTCGTGTGTGTTTCTATCAGTTATTATCTAGTATTAAGTCGATTTTAACAAAACAGGAGTTGAAAACTGTAGCCAGTGCTTTTATCATCTCTAGGCCAGAGCACTGCAACTCCCTCTATGTTGGCTTGAGCCAGTCCTTAATGACTCGGCTCCAGCTGGTCCAAAACTCTGTTGCCAGATTTCTGTATGGAGCACGTCAGTGGGAGCATGTTACTCCCCTCCTGACAGCTTTGGACTGGCCAACGGTGAAGAGTTGCATCTTGTTAAAAATCCTGGGCCTTGTTTTTCATTCCCTGTCTGGATCAGCGCCACCATATTTAGCCTCCCTGCTGACCCGTTACGTCCCTGCAAGATCGCTACGTTCGGGTCAGAGTGACCTTTTGGTGGTACCGCGATCAAAGCGTAAGTTTAGGGTTGATCGTGCCTTTGCAGTTCTGGGTCCTCGGCTTTGGAACCAAGCCATCCACGTCGCTGCCTGCTTTTAAAGCAAGGCTTAAGCTGTATTTTAGATCTGTTTCTGGGTTGTTTTCAGTCACATTTTTATGTTTTTGATCACTATTGTTATTATTTGTAGCTCTTTTTTTAAATGTTTTTATCTCTGTGTTTTATTATAGAGCTGTTTTATTGTGCTGCTTCTCTGCACTGCATTCAGTGCCTTGGGCCACCTTGATTGGGGGTGGGAAGGGGCTGTATTAATAAAATGAACGAACTAACGAACGAACGAATGAATGAATGAACGATAAGCTGTACACACCTTGGTGCATGTACTTTAGAGTCTGTCTTCCATTATAAAGGTGATGTTATTTCATTCGAAGAGCTGATTTTTATTATGTTGAGGATTAGAAAACCACCCAAAAACAGGTACAAGAAATCAGAGTCAGAATAGGTTTATTGCCATTGTTAGTGAACAAACAATTCACAAACCAGGAACTTGCTTACAATCCATTCTTCTGGAAAATGTATAGACACTAAAGACATTTAAACTGATCCAAGTATTACAAAAGGGAAGAATAAAGGATTTTAGTGGTTTGCTATTATTTGCTCCAATAATGATAAAGACTACACAGTTTTGGCTTGCTTTTAGCACCCCTAGTGCTCGTTTACTAGAACTGAAAGCAGAATCTGTCTCCTTGCTCTGCATTCGTGCTTTTAACGCCTTCATTTAACAGCTGAAATGTCTCCCCAGCCTTCATTAGTGTCTGGAGGAGCGGTTCATCACTAAATTAAACAAATCAGCTGTGTCCATGATCTGAAACAGGTGTCGCCATCTCCAGTCCTTGAAGGCTACCATCCTGCTAGTTTTCTGTTTCCTGCTTGACCACACCTTAATGAAGTAATTGAATCCTCTCCTTCCCACGTTTAACTCTGCACAGGCCTGATAATTACTCATTCATTTCAAGCAGGTGTGTAGGAGCAAAGACACTGCTAAAATGTGCAGGATGGTTGCCCTCGAGGACCGGAGTTGGTGACCCCTGGTCTAAAACATGCAGGAAAACATGCTGGAAGCAGACTGCAGCACCTGGTATGTCAGCTCATTGTTTTTTTTTCAAGTACAACAGATGGGAATGGCACTCTGGATTTGCAAATGCGGTATTCTGGCCACAGAGGGTGGTGGGGGTTTGAGTGACATTTTATTAACCCTGTAAAGGGTAATTTTAGCACATACTGGCTCAAGAAAATGATTTAAAATTTAGTCAAAGTTGCCAAGTATCCCGTTGATTATAAAACTTGAAGAGAATCAGTTTTTTTTTTGTAGAAAAATTTAATTTTGCTCCCCACTGTTAGTCACATTCACTGGTGCATATGTGCAATAATCACGTGGTTGTAACTAAAAAACAAGTCAAGTAGAAAACCTGCATGTTTTCACATTTAGCTGCTCTAGTGCAACAATGGCTGCAAAATCTAACAAAGTTGTTGCAGTGTGTTGCTTTGCTTTAATTTTTTGCAGAAGGAAAATTACTTCTTCACCATCAGAATGCATGACAAACATTTCTGGGAAATAAACAGAACCTCACACTGTACCCACAAGATAAATGTCCATAGCTGAGGAGCTTTAAAACTTTGCAGGGTGTGGTGGTCGTTCACATCGCTTTCATTCTGCTAAAGTCTCAGGGCATCTGTGCAGAGTAATTGTGTCCTTGAGCAAAGCTTATATGTTCTGGGGCTCACATCTCATCTCATCTCATATCTACGCTCCTATGCTCCCACTTTTTTTTCTTTTCCTATTCAGCTTTTTCTCTTGCCCACCTGCTTCTGTCCTCTCCTCCCTTCCTGGTTGTAAGTTTTTTGCTTTGTCCCTTTCTCCTGTTTTATTCTTTAGGTTTCTTCTATCTGCTGTTTGCACAGTTATCCAGAAGGAGAAACTGAGAAAAAAAAATAGCTGAAGGGACAATAAATGTGTGCATGTGGTCCGTGGATGAGCAGAAAATGAAGCATGAAATTTAATCCTCACCAAACAAAGAGGGAAAAGAGGCCGCAAGCTCTCACAAGGTTAGACCAATATTCTGTCTCCTTTTTATTCCAGTT